GGCGAGGCCGGTGGGCTCCTCTCCTCTGGTTCTCGTTTTCACTCTGTCTCGCCTTCGCCCCGGGGGCTGCGTAAATAGGAGAAACCCGGAGGTGACCGTTGGAAATGTCGCCCCTCCCCAAGGTCCAACCCTCCTTGCTGCCTGCCAAAATTTGTTTGCCCATCAGTTTCTTTCCTCTTTAATAACAACCAAGATTTCAAAATCTTTTGAAATCTTTTCACACACACACACACACACACACATTGTGCTCTCCAACCAGGTGATTTTGTTTTGATCCTCTTGGACCAATGCTGGAGCGCGGGACAAATGCCGGATGCCCGATTACGCACGAAGAGGGATACCGCGCGCGTGTGGTTGCAGCACGGTAAAGGGCACGTTCGATGCCGTGGCCCGAAGGGTTAACACATTTTTTTAATTACGCGAGATTGAAAGTTGGTGTGAAAAATAATTAATGTTACAGCGCGGGAACGGGCACGTGCAGTGCCGTGGCGTGAAGGGTTAAAATGTTTTTTTTAGTTAGGTGAGATCGACTGTTGGCGTGAAAAAATCTATTCGAGATGATAAGTTCACCTACCGGAGGGTGATGCGAGCATGCCAGCGCCCACCTGGAGAGATAGGGACGACATTATTGCAGTAGACTAATATTTTTGAAATTAATAAACGCCGGCCAAAAAGAATATATTCTCTCGCTGGAAATGTAGACGAAATTAATTTCAGCCATTTATTATTTTCAAATTTCTAAAATGGAAATATCTTCCTGTAGATTGGATGTTATTAATTTCGAGCAATTATTGTTTTCAATTTTTTTAAAGGGAAATATCTTGCTGTAAATTGGTTGTTATTAATTTCGAGCATTTATTCTATTCAAATTTTGAAAAGGAGACCTCCTTCTGAATTGCCACGTGGCCTTTATTCCCTAAGCTTGAAATTGCTTCCTGGTGTTACCAATGGAGGTTTTTGGATGGCAATATCTGGGGAACGTTCTCTGGGAGCATTTTCCCAGCGAACGCTCAAATTGTCATGCAATTTCAACTAAAGTTGTCATGGCAATTTTACAGAAGTTGTCATGATCGGAAGATAAAGTTGCCATGTAGCGGCAAAAAATGACAATCATTTAATTTTTTTGACCATCCATTTGATATGAATCCAATGGTTGTGGGGACGTTCTCTAAGATCTCCCTCCTAGGGAACGTTCGCCAGTTATTATTTCCCCCATTTGTACTTATGAGTTGATTTTCTTAGAGTTTTCGAGTTGTTCTTGGAGGTTTGAATAATTTAGAATGTTCTATTAATATACGGGGAAAATATGTGAGGTTGACGGAGTTAATGAGGGTTGTAAAGACACTGTTCACTAGCAAACGGATGGATATGGGTATTCCGTACGATATCGTACCGTATCTATTCGAGTCACGTGAAAACTTGCGAGCATCGACAAATATAGGGTTCATTGTTCACCTACCGCGTTGGTGTGAATAGACCATCACCCACGTGGAGAGATATGGACAATATTAGTGTATGATATTAAACTACAATAGTATTACGCTATATTCATACTTAGAGTAAATAACAAATGCCAGAAGTGATATTTATTCCACTATAAAAATTAGACTTTACATTTTTCAAGCATCTTGGAAATATTGGGAAAGAGATCCTCTCCATATTACCATGTGACTTCAACTATTTTTCAAAATTTTAAAATCACACCATCTCTGAGATTACCAAAATATGGCATATAGATTAGCAATGTTTCTTTTCACGGAAGGGGAGTTATATTTTGGTCCAATTGGATTACTATCGAGGATGGAATAATGTAGTATATTCCATTATGAACGATGAAATGAGGTTAATGTAGTTACATGGATTGTACGGACACTATTACACTCACACGTGAAAATGGATGTGTGTGTTCCATATGATGCCTTATCGCGAAGAGTTAATGTATCTTTTGAGTCATATGAAATAATTGTGCGAGCGCCGATAAATCCTAGAGATAATATGCTCACCTACCGTGGTGTAGTGACAATGCTATTGTGATATGTCATTTGTTTCATAATTCAAATGAATCCATTAATGCTTTTCGATTTTGAGAGTGTGTTGGCCTGCACTCATGCTGACTCGCCATGTCCACATAGTTAGTGTTATAGTTGACGTAAATCTGACTTGTGTGATCAATTTGTGTTATTTTTTAAGTTTTTTTCTTCCACCCACCATGCAAGTTTGCATACCATGGATGCAATTAACTCTACACACAATGGAACACAATGAAATACACGAGGTCAATGAAGTTGTGTAGGTCGTACAGACACTACCGTGCACATGCAATGGATATGGGTGTTACGTGCGATGCCTTGTGGTGAAGAGTTGATGCATATTTTCTATCCACTGGTAGAAAAAGGGCCTGTTGTCCCGGTTCGTAAGGGCCTTTAGTCCCGGTTCCTGAACCGGGACTAAAGTGTCGGTACTAATGCCCTGTCCCTTTAGTCCCGGTTCAATTCAAAACCAGGACTGATGGGTCTCCACGTGACCTGTGCGCGGAGCCCAGGCAGGAGACCCTTTGGTCCCGGTTGGTGGCACCAAACGGGACCAATAGGCATCCACA